CAGGTCGACCTGCAGCTCGATAAAGGTCGGGCCGTTGGTCAGCGGGCCGGGGGCCTGCGGGCCGTACAGCAGAAAGGCGTTGGGCACGCCGGGGACCATCATGCCCATGTGCGTGCGCACGCCGTCGCGCCACTTGTCCTGCAAGAGGGCGCCGCGGCGGTCGCGGATGTGCATGTCGTACAGGCTGCCGGTGATTGCATCGTAGCCGGTCGCTAGGATGACGAGGTCAAACTCGCGCAACGCCTGAGTCGTCGACGTCGTCGACGTCGTCGTCGTTGTCGTCGCGCATGGGCAGGGCTCCTCGGTGACGATGCCCGTCTCGGTGAATTCCTTGATGGGCGTTCTTCTCAGATCGACGAGTGTCATGTTGTCGCGGTCCATCATTTCGTAGTAGTCGTCTTCCAGGACGGGCCGGCGCGCCATGAACCACACCGGCTGCTCGTCAGGCACCAGAAACTTGCGCTTGCCTGGGTCCTTGATGCGCGGGAGTGTCTTTTCCTTCCAAAACTCGTAAAAGGCGGCGTTGGCCGTCTTGTCTGTTAAGATCTCGGGGTAATTGCCGGTGATGATGTCGAAGCCGCCATTCTTCCACGCTGTCTCCCAGTTCTCGCGGCGCTGCTCGGCCGTCTCCTCCTCAAACGAGCGGGCGGGCATGTTCATCGAAATGGTGGCCCATCCTGACGGCTTGGCGTGGGGGGCGTACTCTTGGTACAGCGACTTCCAACGCTCCGTCTCGCCGGCAGTCAAGGTTCGCTGACGTAACGGGTACGCGATGTTGGGCGTCCGTACAAACACGGTGACGTCTGCGTCGAGCTTTGCAATCTCCTGCGCCACCTGCGTGCCGGTAGAGCCCTGACCGATGAGCGCAATCTTCTTCTTGTCGCCCAGATTCAAGTCGTCCGGCCAATCGTGCGTGTGCACCCACCGACCCTGGAAGCGCTCCAGACCCGGAAACTTGGGCACGTACGCCTTGTTCGTCGTGCCCGTCGCGAAGAACACATATCGGCCCGTGGCGTGCAGACCCTTGTCGGACCGAAGATGCCAAGAGCCTGTATCACTGTCGTATCGCGCGTCGACGATGGAGTGCCAAAAGATGGCATCGCGTCGTAGGTCCAGCACCTCGGCGACGTGCTGGAAATACGCCTGCATGGTGCGCTGATCGGGGTATTTGAGCCCAAAGTGAAAGCCCTGCCGCACGCGAGGAATGCTCAGCTGGTAGATGGGTGGCGGCGAGTCCACCAGCGCCCCGGGGTAACGGTGCGAGTGCCAGACGCCACCAAAGTCGGCTCCGGCGTCTATGATCTTGGCCGAGTAGCCCTGCTGGCGCAGCTTGTACAGGGCGTAGCAGCCGGAGAAGCCGGCACCGACAATGATGCAGTCGGCCGATACGGCCGCGGGGCCGGCCGCTGGAGATGCAGCCGGCATTTGGTGCAAACGTCGTCTGCCGTCTATATGTGGGTGTGGAAAAGCAATTTCTTAACAGAAGGTCACGGAAGCTGGATAATAGAGTGGATTTAACATGACCATGTCTTACAGAAAGAACTGTGCAACCAAGGTATTGGCAAGGAGGGGCATGTCCTTGTTTTATACTATGCCTGCGCAAAGCTAGCTGCATGCTATACGCTGCATATTGCGAGCTGATATAGCACCCTTTCAGAGACATACTGTGAGCTCATGTCGGTATATTGATGGACTTGGGGTAGTTCGGGCGGACACAAGTAAAGATCTTGCAGTGCGGCGAGTCGAGCTGCTGACGACTCATCAGTCGCCACTCGACACCAACGTGGGATTGGGCAGTCGACTGCAAACTATGGGGGTAAGAGCAAGCCACCGACTACTTGTTTCAGCTGTACGATATCGTTGGTGTGGTGTGTTAATATATGGTAAGCGGCCAGTTACTCGCGCTGGAAAGACGCCTAGGCAGAAGAACAAGTTTCGTTGGTGTGTACTCTACCCAGGGCTACAAGTGCGAATATAAGAGATGCTGTATGGCCTCTACACACCGTTATTTGACCGCGAATCCTGAGTGTTCTTGTCAAAACCCAACAGATATGCATGACTCGAAGCATCATCTTCAGATCTAAGTGAAGAGTACGGAGCTCTATAAGTGTGCATGCCAATCGGGAAGAATAAGTCTCTTTGAGAACCGACAAGGTAGAAGGAGTAATGCGAAATAATATCATTCTTTCTGCACCTCTTTTCCTCGTCTCTTTATTTCTAGATCCGTCCTGCATCTTATCTCCGTACCCTGGAGGCAAAGTAACCCCTCGACACTGCTTGAGCCCCCGATCGCTGCACAAGGACGCAGGACATGGCGTACAAACTGCGTCATCGCACCTGCAGCAATTAATGAGCAGCAGAGTCGTGCAAGCACGTGGGATAATATAATGTCAAAAAGTTTGACTTGTTGTCCTCCATGGCAACGCCTGCTCATCAAAGATAACTCCACATCATGCTTATCCCCAATAAGCCCGGCCGTTTCGGCGTTTAACAGGGATGATTTTGCCATTGACATCCTCGGAAGAAGAAAATCCACGCAGAGAAATCCATCTCTCGAAAGCAGCAAAAGTAGAGTTCATCGATAATATGGCAGTGAGGTCGATATTGGTAAGTTGACGACGGGCTTTTCGTGCAGCGTCGGCGATTGTGTGCTTACTCTTGTTGACATTGTGCAGCTTACTGTGCTGGTCGCTGCCCTAGCGACGTTTCTCTATGGACGCAGCCATGTCCTGAAGAGTTTCGTTGCCAATGCGCCTGACCGACTGCAAAGAATTAATACTTTTGAAAACTATGAGATCAAGTTTACGGACCGCATGCGCAACTGCGAAGATGTCGTGCTGGTCAAGGAGCGCCAGTTGGCCATCACCGCGTGCGACCCGGGCCGCGACAAGTGGAATGTCGTCATGGTGAGCTCGTCCCTTTAATGTAACGTGAATGAAAGCACGCAACGTACTGAGTCATGGTACTTCCGACAGGGAGTTAGAATTCCAGGCGAGCTACCGCAGACCGAGCTATTTACCTACAATTACGCAACCTCGGGCGCCGGCGCCGGCGCACTCACGCCGTTCAAGATGATTGGCTTCGCCGGCGTCGGCGACTTTCGCGCGCTCGGCCTCGAGATTGACGAGCCGAGTTCGACGCTGTTTGTGGCTAGCCACGCGCAGGCGGGCCCGCGCATCGAGGTCTTTCATCTCGACCTTGACGACTTCACCGCGACGCACGCCGCGACGCTCACGCACCCGCTGCTGAACCAGCCCAACTCGATCCAGCTGCTCGGCGGCCGCCACGAGCTCTACGTCTCCAACGACCACTACTTTACCGCGCGCAAGACGCCCGTCCTCGCCAAGATTGAGACGCTTCTGGGGCTGCCCTTTGCCAGCGTCGTGCACGTGTCGCTCGACCCGGTCGACTACGCCGTCCAGTCGGCGCGCGTTGTCGCCCGCCTGCCTTTTGCCAATGGCGTCGCGCTCCTCAATGACACGACCTTGGCTGTCGCGTCGTCGAGCGGGGGTGCGGTGCATCTCTACCGCGTCGAGGCGGATCGGTCGCTCACGCGCAAAAAGACCAAGATTACGGTGCCTTTTTTACCGGACAACGTCTCGCTCAAAGATGGCAAGACGCTGCTGATTACCGGCCACCCGCATCTGCCGAGCCTCACCGCGATTGCGAAGAGCCGCCATGTCTGCAACGATGCCGAGGTGCTCGTGACGGCAAGCGACGAGAAAAAGGAAGCGTGCGCAAAGGCAATTGGGTTGTCGTGGGTGGTGGAGTGGAGTGAGGAGCAAGGGCTGCGCAACGTCTTTGTAGAGTCCATCTACGGCTCGAGCACGACCACGGTCTGGGATGGCGAGGCGGGATTTGGTCTGATGACTGGTCTCTACGAAAAGGGTCTCTTTACATGGAGGGTGTAGGACTGCATTGTATTTTTAACTATGCGCTGGTAATCCCTCTCTGCCTGCAAAGCACTGGTGGTAGGTAGACCTCGGACTTTGTGTGAACTTTTTGCGCAGGTCAAGCGTGCCAGACGCAAGGAACAAGATTTTTCATCGGGTGATTTTATCCTGGGTAGAAAATCTAGATGGAAGAGGTAAACAGAGATAAACCCCTCGATACAAGATACTTTATGTATGCCACAAATGCAGCAACGGCCGAAGCCCATGGGATGTTTGAGTCGAATTCGAGTCCCACCCATTTTTCTCTATGGCATGCTACCTATTTGATGACGAATGACGATGGGCTCCGGTACTAGGTACTTGACTATACGGTTCTCTGTCGCTGAGGCGCGTTCAACCCGTCTGAATGAATTAATCCTTGACACCTGTCGCACTTTTGTCAGCTGCATCAACATATTCTCTCATAGAAAAAGGGTAGGAAAGCATACAAGGAAGGATGCGAAAGTCCATACAAGTTGGCATTTGCTGAGAAAATGGAGATATATTCCTGGAAAAATTCTCGAAAAGATTATCGTTACGACTCCCACCATGCTATCTATCGACACCAGGGGCGCTTTGCGTGAGCACGCAACCCTTGGTCTTGGCCTGCCGCCTTGACACAATGACTGACATACGATGGCAAGCAGGACTAATAGTCACAATCTATGAGAACGACGAAAGGCGAGCGGAATAATATGAATTCACATGATAGTAATCTTCTAGCCTGGCTTACAGCGCGCCTCTTTGGCCTCTTCTGTCTTCTGGACAGCTCTCTTACAATATTGCCCCATATTCCAACAAAAATTCCATACATGATAAAGCGCAGCATAATTCGAGCAAATGTAGCCATGTTAAGCATAAAAGGTTCCCTTGCCCCTTTGATAACAATTTAAATCGAAACAGCACCCTTTGCAAGCTTCCTCGAAGCTTAGCCACCACTGGGCCAGATCCCCATCCCAGAATGAGCAAAGTCTGCTCAGCATACATGCATGCTATACGGCCTGGGTGACCGCATTGGAAACGGAAGGACATCTCCGGTCTGCTCCTCGTCCTCCCCCGAGCCCGGTGTACTCGACAAGCACGGCGCCTCTGTCACCGGTGTCGCGGGGAGAGGCTTGTCAACATTGGAGAGATGATGCAGCGATAGGCTAGCCGGCGCGCTCGCCCGTTCGGTCCTTTTCACTGGCGGAATGTAATGAATAACACCGTCCTTCTCGACCGTCTGCAGCGTTGTCGTAGGATCTTGCGGGCTGCCCGTCGCCTCGTCCCCGCGGCCGAGCTGCGCAGCGTCGAGCAGCTGCTGCTGGTGATACTGGATAGGAACAACCCGCGTCCCCCACTTGATGTCGAACCCGACACCCGTCAGCTCTTGGAGCCTGTCGAGGAAAGCTCCGCAGCGGTTGCAGTTTTTTCTCGACACGTGCACTTCAAAGCGGACCGAGTCCGCGCCGTCTGCGCTCTTCCATTTGATATGTCTCAGCGCGGCTAGACTCTCCCGCGAGAGCATACTCTTGTTTGATACATCATAATGTCCCGTCATCTGAAGAAGGACCAGAACGGCGTGGGTCGCGAGTTTGACCTCGACGTGGGACGCTTGAAAACTGCCCCGCGGCAGAGTCGGTTTGTCGAAAGGCGAGAACAGATCAATGTCAAGCACAGTCGCCATCTCAATTGCTCGAAAGGCCCATGTCTTGTTACTGAGTACGTGATTGCCAGCCTGGAGAGAGTCGCCATGGCGGCCTATGCCATGTCCGCTCTCGGCCCAAGCGAGAACAATCTTTTGCGAGTTTGTGACTGCGGTCAGAAAACCGCTGGTCTTCTTGTCCAAAATTGTCTTGTTCGAGTCATTTGCTTGTGAATAGTGATGCTGAAAAGTCTTAGACAGTCCGTAGCCGAGGACTTGCACGCGAAGCGAGCCGGATTGCTTATCGATGTGATGTAAGTAGAAGGTCTCATCCGTATCATCTCGAAATTTGGAGTTTGAGATCCCAATCCGAGTCATATTTTTAGATCAAAAAATGAGGACAATGATGAATCGACGGTCTTCTCAGATGGAAATTGTTCGAGATTGCTGGTGGAAGAAAGAGAAGCTGGAGCGAAAGATTTATGCACATGCAGATGCACTTTGCCGGCCCGTCAGCCTCGCCGGCCCGTCAACCTCGCCGGCCCGTCAACCTCGCCGGCCCGTCAAGCGTTAGTCAACTAGATGCTCACTTGAAGAGCGTGTTTGCTCATCGAATAGTGCATATGCATGAATGATAGAAGATATGTGTGCGTTTCTATTATTATACTGCGATGCAATCTACATGGCAGTGGGGCTTTGCAGAGTCCCATCAGTTATAACTCCAGCATCAGGTTGTTTGCTTATACTTGAACAGGAATCATGTGTCCGAAACCCCATTTGACAAAAGACATAGTCAGCTTCATTACTTACACAGGAGGCGGTCGCGCGCTCTGTTGCTCCGTCTAACAAACAACTTCACGATCTCTTCCAGTAATACATGTTTATATCTGGGTATGGCACTGAAAGGGCGTATCCAGACAAGATACCTTTATTCTTGCTATCCAAAACCAACCTCATCTCAAATCATGATATTGCCATACACATGAGAAACAGTCTTGTCCCTAGCAAACTCACGACAGCATCCCCTCGACCAGCTTCTGCCTCCTCGCCTCCTCCTTTTCCATCCACGCCAGCACCTGCGCGTCAATCTGAATCCTCGCCTGCTTTTTTCCCAGCACGTCCTGCACTACGGCAATGCCCTCGGGCACACGTGACCCTGGCGAGAACTTGGCGAAGCCGCTGAAGAAGCCCGGGCGGTCCGGGTTCTGCGTGATCTGGTACTGGGGCTGCGACGCGCCAAGGCGCGCACACAGCTTCGCGAGGACCGCGGACAGGCGGCTAGACTCGGCGGCGGCGTCGGCGCGGTGGCCTTTTGCGGATGAGACGGGCGACGCCATGGCAGCGGCGTCGGCGTCAGTGGCAGAAGGAGAAGCAGAAGGAGGAGGAGGAGATGGCGCTGCAGCAGCGGCAGGGGAGCAGTGGCGTTGCTTGGTAGGTGAGCCATTGTCCGAGCCGGGGGCCGTGGGGGAGTCGAGGGGGCGTTTTGCGCGCATAGGGTTGGTGGAGGGGGGCGTGGCCAAAGAAGAGGCGGCGACGGGGACCGGGGCATGGAGAGAGGCCGGTGTAGGGGTAACTGGTCGAACAGGTGTCGGGAGTGTTAGTGATTGTTGTTGCTGTGGCTGTCGAGATGCACACTGACATGTGTGCTGCTGCTGCTGCTGCGCGGGTACAGACTCAGAGTGAGGCTGCTGTGGCAGTTGCGTAGGTGCAGGTTGAGATGGTGGGAGCTGCGGCGGCGGCATCTGAGAAGCCTGCTGTCGCGGCAGCTGTGTCGTCTCCTGCGGAGTCTTGCGCGGTGTAAGCGAGGTAGCCATCTCCTTCGTCGCGCTGTTCAGATATGCCACCGCGAGCATAGCCGCATACTGTTTGGCATCCTACTCATCCACATCACAACTCACAACATTAGCAAACACTCTCCAAACGTTTTCGACGCAAAAGACATACACGCAAAAAACAAAAATCATACCTTTTTGCTCGAGAATAACGCCGGCGGCTTTTCATTCTCTCTCTTTGGAAATGTCTGATCGCACCACGGCAGCACGCACGTGCAATGCCATCGCAGCTGGAACGCGCCCTTGACCGGCACGTCGACCGGCTCGCCCGTCTCAAACGCCGGCGGCTCTAGCTGCTTTGACTGGATAAACTCTATTCCACCATCACCACCATTAGCGAACCGTACACCCTCCATCGGGTCGGTGCCCGCCACCGTCGTCGGCGGTTCTCCGCCGCGCGAGGCGCCACCGACGACGGTAGCTAGGACCGTAGAAGACGACAACGACGACGACATACGCATGAGCTTGCTGACGTGGTCCTCCTTGGGCAGCGGGGGCTCGTCGCCGCCAAAGGGGACGAGCTGGGAGAGCGCGAGCAGCTGCGCGTGGGCGAGGTGCGTCGTGGCGCCGCCGGTCAGGGCCTGCGTGCGCTCGGCGTCGTCGAGCCAGGCGCGGAGGCCGGCCCAGGGAACGGGGAGTAGCGGCGAGAGGCCGCATGCTTTGTTGGCGGGTGTCATTGCGGTAGAGGGGCACTATGAGATGGTTTATGAAGAAGAAGAAGAAGAAGAAGAGAGAGAGAGAGAGA